GGGGGGGGGTTAGTGGGGAGCCGGAGATGGGTGGGACCCACTGCCTGGAGATGCTGGCTTAGAAGGAGGCTAGAGGACTTAAAAGAGAGTTCTTAAAAGAGGCCCAGGCTTCCTTCCAGGGTGGGCCACCTGCATTTCCACAGCGGGCTGGGTGGGGGGCTATTACGAATTTGTTCAAAATGACGCGAGGAGCCCTTCGGAAGTAAGGGCCCCATGGCCTCACAGGCTATGCTTCCATGGAGGGGACACCAGAAAGCCACAGTGTTTTGCTGCTTCTTAAAGGTAGAGGGAACTTAAAAACCTGCAGTTTTTTGAAAGAAGACTTTTCTCCAAAAAGACAGTCTTCTGAGCTCCAGGAATATAGTATCGACTTACAGACTTGAGGCCAACCTACTGTCTCTAATGGAATGTGGGTTTAGGACAAATGAACTCCCTGAGTTTCTGAGCCACAGGACATTGGCATCCTCCAGGGGAACCTCGAAGGAAGGGACTGTCAAAGCGCTCTCCCTGTGTCATGGGGATGTATTTGGGGAAAGGGGAAAGCCCTGGCCACACATGGGGACCAGTGAGCCTCTAGCAGGTCTAGTGGGGAGAGTGCAGGCCAGGAGCAAGGTTTGGGGTCTGTTCCTGGCAGCTGGCTTCAGGCACCTATCTACCTGAGTCTCGGGTTGGAGAGTAGGAATCCAATCCCAGAGGGAGGCCTTAAAACTTGGCTCCACTTGCCTCTTGTTAAATGGGGATTGTAATCTGTCTTATAGCCTTGCTGGGAAAGATGACCGAGATAATCCAGGGAAAGTCCCTGGCCCAGGGCCTGGCTCGCTCAAAACTGTTTTTATATCATTATAGTTGTTATTGTTGATGCCATTCTTGCTTGGCTTCTTTACAGGTATTTGGAAGAATAAAAAACATTTAATCAAGTATTAGTGTAACTCGAAGAAAAGGCATCATTGTTTTGCTCTTGTCAAGAGGGGTCCACGGACAGATTCAAGGTGGATCTCCCGCTCACTGGGGTGTGGCAAGATACCTAGACCCTCATGACCAAGTGGAAAGTGACAGGAGGCTGTTGTCCCCCACGACCTAAGTGGCGTGGGTGGGGTGGGGAATAGCCTGTTGAGTGACATAGCTGGAGAAGGCACGGCACGAGCTAAGGAGCAAGAGTTCATAAAACTGTACTGATTCGGCCCAGTGAGACACGGCCTGAAGAGCAACAGTGCCGTCAGGCTGGCACTGACTCATCCTGGGCTGCTCGGCTAGGAACTGGCTTTCTGGGCCGACTCTCCGAGGAGGGAGCCATCTGACCTCCAGGGGCTCCAGACCATGCTCCATGTTAGCAGCTGCCCTGCACCCCAGGCTTCACAGCTCCGCAAGATTTTGGATCCTAGCGCTGGCATGCTCTTTAAGGAGTGAGACTTCCTGGGTTTATTACTGAATTTCAAGTCTTCCAATAAGTCCATATTTCCTTGCTTTGGCATAAAGGTGTTTGACCGATTAGAGCTTTTGACATTTGTTTTGCACTTTCTCTGGGAGGGCATTCATGTGCTAGAAGGTGAATGGGACTTTCTAAGGGCAAGGGGAGCTTATGGAGGCAGAAAACAAAGCTGCTGCCCTCAGCCTTTGGCCTGGAAGAGAAAGGGTTCTGGAGCCAGACTGCCTGGCTCTGATCCTGGCTTTGCCTGTGACCTTTCCCTCAGTGACCCTCAGTTTTCTCATCTGTAAAATGGGCATGAGGATGATACCAGAACAGGGCTATTGTGAGGATCAAGTGAGAAATTCATGGAAAGTACTGAGCCCTGCGCCTGGCCCTTGGTAAATGTCGGACAGATGCTGGACAGATGTTACTCGCTGTCGATGGTCGGCTGGGCACCTACAGAGCTGCGGGAATACTCGGAGAACTGGTGGGGCTTAGCCAAGGGGAAGACAAAGGGCATTTCTGAGCCCCACCCATGTCGTGCTTAGTAAAAATTTCCTATTTCTACTGCTTATGTTTCGAAACCGATGGTGCCAATTTCTTGCGCTTTTCCTGAAGGTCAGCAGGAAAGGCAGTCCCAGGGGAGCCAGGGCAGCTGGGGAGGTGAACTGCACCCCCTCCCCCCAGGAGAGGCCGGCCCCACGCAGGGGCCCTCAGGCCCGAGGAGACTCACTCGTGCAGCAGCAGGTCCTTGAAGTGGATCATCTCCACCATCACGCGGGTGTTCTCCCGGGCGGCCGTGCACAGGTCGTGCTTGAGGTAGCACTCCCGCTGCAGCTGGGCCACCATCTCCTTGATGGCCGGGCACTTCCGGCTAATGCAGCCGAACCTGTGCCGCAGGGCGTGGGCCTTACACCTCAAGGCGTCCTTGATGAACGACTTGCCCTGAGGACAGAGGACAGAGGGGGGAGAGAGGGGCAGAAGAGATGAGCCCTGGGTACACACATAGACACTGACCCTCGTGGGCTCACCCAGGAGCTTTCTGACAATGGAACCCCAAGGCCCCGCTGCAGACTAATGTCCTTGCAGGTGACAGGTCAAGGCTGCATCAGGAGGTGTGACCAGGGTGACGTGATACCTCTGGCATTTGGCCGAAGAGGATGTCCCTTATCTGCCTCCTTCCTTCCCAGCTGCTCTACTAGCGTCCCTCCTGCAGGGGATTTCGTGGCCGCCTATCCCCAAGGCAGACAGACCAGGGTTGGCTGTTTGGTGGCAACTTTTCTGGAACATAAGGGAACTTGGGCCAGACAGAAATCCCAGTTCCTCAATGGTTTCCAGGGAGCTTCTTCCCCAAGTGGAAGGCAGGTGCCCGCTTGTCCAGGTCTCACACCTTTCCTTTGTCCTTTGGGTCCAGAGGTGATGTCAGGACGGGCTGCTAACTGTGCCTGTCCTTCTGCCTCAGTGACCCCAGCACCCCAACCCACTCTCTCATCTCCCCACCCTTTAAGGAGGGGCACTCTTTTCCTTTTGAAAAGGGTTCGACTTCTTTAACCGGGTAGGATTATAGCCTCAAAGTACCGCCTGGCACACTGCCTGGCAGCGTCCTGCCTGGCCGCCAGGCCCCCCCCCGCCCCGCCTCTGAGTGGCGAAGGCAGCCAGGCATACATCTGGCCCTCACTGCTCTTTCTTGGCAACCCCGTTAGAGTGTTCTTACCCTAGAAAGGAGACAGCTGTTGGCAGTGTGGAGGCGAGCTGGGCCGTTAGCTCCCCAACCAACCTCGGGGGCAGAGGCTTGTGGGAACCTCCCCAGGGATGCCGCACCCCCATTACTATAGGAACGAGCTGTCCCTGGAGAGGTTGCCCGTTTTCAGACAGGCCCAGAAAGAGTGGAGTTGAGAAAGTAAATGGGTTTAGGTTGGGAGTGGGAAGCCAGCCAGCATGCTCATTTCAGTTCTCTCCTTGAGAAGCCATCGAAATGTCTAGATAGTGTCTGGTCACTAAAAACCACCTCCCCCCAGCCCCCTGTCTTCTGACTCTCCAGTGGGAGCCAAATAGGAAGGAGGGTAGGGCGTGCCCATTTGTGAAGTAGTTATGCACTGAGAGCTGACTTGAAAGGGATGCTTCTAACTCGAGAGCACGCTCCTGTTGGTGGGTAATCAAAGGGAAGATTAAGTTATGAGGGGACTGCGGCAATCTGTCCTCGGTATTACTCCCTGACACCCTGTGGGATGGCCCTGAAGCACATCTTTCCTCCGGACTGCCTATTACATTTCCTAATTCCAGTTAATCCAGAAGGGATGCTTTAGCAGGGAGCCTCAAGGAGTTCAAATGCGCAGCCTCTCTGCTTGGCCGCTTTCTGCTTCCCCTCCAGCCACGCCACGTCCTCTGCAGGGCAGGCGGCATCCCTTCCTGCTTCCCAGGCACTGCTTCGTGGGGCTCTCCACAGGAGGTCAGTAGATGGTGGCTGGTGACATTCATCAATCACCCTGAAAGTGTTGGCCTCGCCCAAACATTGTCATCCCTCTCTGGGGACGTGGGAGCGTCACGGGGGCTTCATGGTGGCGCCGATATAGGCTGAGCCTCGTGCCATCTGAGATGTATTTGGATGGTCGGCCCTGGACCGTGAGGTTGCTTGTTAGGTTCTTTTCCTGCCCCACGCAGCAATGGGCTTTGCCCTTGGGACCCTGGCACCACGAAAGTGGGTCAGGCCCTGACTATATTTATTATATGGAGCAAAAGAAAAGTGGACTCATTCAGGGTTTTGATTTTTCAGGTTGGGAGAGGAGGGCCTGCTGCTTACGGGGAAGAAAAGCCTGCTCCTCCGGAGGCCCCGGAGTATCCATGCTGCCAGCTCACACACCCACTGGGAGAAGATGAACTTCTCAGAGAGTCGCGTGTCACGTAGTCTTGCCTATTAGGTGAAAATAGCTTTTGGAATGTATAATTGGAGTCTCTGCCCTACTCCCCCCCCC